TAGACTTCAGTTAATAGTGCCCCTGCGGTGACGACAACACTTGTGCGGAAAAACTTATGCTTGCGAAAGCTTGCAACTTGCTTGCGCTTGAATAGCTGCAAGGCGCCGTTTATTGTCACTGTTTACGCGCAAACGTTGTCGTCATCGCAAGAACACCACATCAAGCGTCAAATAACTAGGCCACATAAATTAGAACAGACATTCGTATAAGCTGTTTAGCGCACTTCTCCGAAACTAATTCAATTAGTTCGAATTTATTAGTCTATTTCAGACTTACATTCAAGTCCTCTTTTTGCTTCTGCTTCTTCTTCTTCTTCTTTGACGCTCCAGTAGTCTCCTTAATTATATTTTCTGCTTCTTTCGTTTTCATATTTGCTGCAATTTTCATTTTCTTCTTCTTGTTCTTTCCTGGACCATTTTGCTCTTCAAAATGTGCTTCTATCCCTTCATCTTCGACTGTCATACCTGAAAGATAAAGACTTTCGAAGAAGACTACGCTGCTTAATCGAGACAACGGTGACAAACAGATCTAGTCAATAAATAATCTTATTTGAAACACCTGTTAGAACATATTGTTGGTAGCAACACCAGAACTAAAGCAACAAACTTCGTTGACTACGACAAATAAACATTCGCGAGCTTGCAGCTTGAGTGCTCTACGGCGAAATCCCGCTCCAGAACGGAACTTCCTTCATTCGTGGCAATTTGCCAAGTGTGACTGGTCGTTACTGCAGAATGTCAAATAAATTGACAATAGGGCTTCCAGAAGTTCTATTCTCTTGTTCTCATTCGGTTTATTTGTCCGCACAAGTTTATCCGAGTCTATACGCATACGTTTGCTCTTCAAAATTTTCTCACTTTTGTTTCACCTACCTTTGGTTTCGCAGTAGGATCTTGACCCATATATCAGTAACACTTGGCTATCTTTGTCTCGTCATCTATCTATACGCCGGATTCCTACTGAAGCCGGATATTTCCCACAACATCCCAGAGTAGATCATCTCAGTAGTACTCTACTTCATTGCGTTCTCTTTTCCTGGCAGTCTTCCAGTGTTTGTGGTTCTCCCGATAATCCATGGAGAAACTCGTTTTCTATATTTTATGCAAAAGCCTTGGTTATGCAAGAAGGTACATAGGAATAGTTGTTCACAATTGAGAAGCTGTTTCTTATACTCATGCTGCTCGCTATGAACTGCTCACGGCAGATATATAAGCAGCAAACTTTACGATGGAATTGTTTGATTGAAAACGCGCGAGGAATAATTCATCCGCATAATGCTGACGCGCTCTACAGACAACACGCAAGCTACCGCGCGAACGGCACGCTGCGGTCTGTGCATTATCTGCGTTCGCCCTCGACTATGGCCCATGTGTCAGTCATGAATGTACTATTTATATTTATTTAGGTCGAGGGATGACGAAAACAACATCTAACAGTGATTCAAGTCCGTATGCGAATGTGACTTCTACGAACACCCCTCCGACAACACCGGTCATGCCTTCAGCTTCAGCTATGCGCAATAGCAATGGTATCGCTACGTGGGTATTCTCCATTTTCTTTTTGTGCAAAATCATGGCTCATTAATTGAATCGCGATTCCAAGTAGATTACATAATTAATTCTATGTCTGTTCTTATTACGTTAGGCCATGAAGAACGGAATAATTTTTTGTGTCCTAGTTACTGCGATGACAAATTGTCTTCAGGCTGTGTGATTGTGATGTTCGGTCGCAATTAGAAGAAGAGGCTATGGCTGCCGTTCGAGAATTTTCTTTTGCTGTGCAGTCCCTTTGTCTCTCCGAAATGCTGCCACGTACCCCTGAATTGCTGTTCCTGAATCTTACGACTTTGGAACATGTCACGTACTGCATCGAATTGACCGGTGAGCATATTCGTTTCACTTCATAATCACAATTGTTTTTTTTTTTTTACTGTGAACTTCTTGTTTCTTGCATCGCTGTTT